ACGGGGCTGGGGCACATGACTTATGAGGAGAGGGTGAGGGAACTGGGTTTATTTAGCCTGTAGAAGAGGAGACTGAGAGGGGATTTAATAAGAGTCTTCAACTACCTGAAGGTGGTTCCAAAGAGGATGGAGCTGGACCGTTCTTCAGTGATGGCAGATGACAGAACAAGGAACAATGGTCTCAAGTTGCAGCAAGGGACGCTTAGGTTAGACATGAGGGAAAACTTTCTCAAAGATCTTGTAACTTGATTCATTATAAAAACACAAGGAAATATTGCGATCATCTTGTCTGACTTCCCATTAAGCTAGTTTTTAATCCATTTAATGTGTGCCAGGTTGGGGTTTTTTATATTGTTCTAGTTTATTAATCAAGATGTTGTGCAGTACAGATTCCTTAGAAAGTCTATCTTGTTTGAAGAGCATTCAGCAATCAGGGAAGAAGAAAAGTCAGAAAAAAACTAATGAAGCTATTTTCTTCTGTTTTTACTACTTTTTTTTTTTTTTCCAGTCTGGAGGAAAAGGAGTGGCTTGCTCAGCTGAGGTTTGTGATTTGTTGAGTTATGCACATTTAGGGATCATTTTGAAACAGTTGTACCTTAATCCCCATGTCCATTTTTAGGATATTTGGGGCCTTGCCACTAGGGCTGCGTGAAGCTTCGTTCCCTGATTCAATTCAACAGAGACTCAGCCCGATTCGATGGCCATATCTCCAAATCCGAAATGAATCAGAGGACCCTTTAATCTCTCCGAATTGAATCGGAACCCTCTGAATCAATTCAGTGACTTGAAAATAGAGACAGCTTTAAATGTTTTTTCTATATACCTCTAGGTAACAGGTGGGTCGTGAATGCTGCGATGCTGGGGCGCATGGAGTCTCCCACAGAAGCCCAGGGGGCCCCCCAGGGTGCTCTGCTGCAGATCCGGGAGTGGACCAGAAGCACTCCCTGTCCAGTTCCAGGTCTGCTGAGGAGCGCAATGGGAGGCCTCTCCACACCCTCCCGGCTCAGCGACTGGTGCCTCCTGGGTCTGGGGGGGCACCCAAGATCCCCCACACCCAATTGCTGAGCCAGGGGCAGGGGCCGCGGGCTGGACCCCTGCGTGCTCCCTGGTGGACCCAGAAGTGGGCCATTTCCAGGTTCACCACCGAGCATGTGGAGGGCCCCCCCGCACTCCTGTGGGACGCTCCATCTGCCCCAGCATCGCAGCGTTCACAAACCGCGCTGGTACCTTGAGGTATGTAGAGAAAACTTTTAAAGCTGTGTCTGTTTGAATCACTGATTCTCTGAATCAGCATCAAATCTTCAAATTCAGATTCAGCTGAATCGAATCGGGGACAGTGATCCGAATCCACGAATTGAATCACTGTCCCTGATTTGGGCTGAATCTGAATCCGAATCAAATGGGCCTGCTTCACACTCCCCTACATGCCACATGTTCAAATTAAAGCTGGCTAGAAACCAGCTATAGAGTTGTTATATATTTTCGGGCACTAAATTTGTAGCTGGCTGGCCCTTATAGCTGGATAGTCCTTTTATGGTGTGATAATTACTTTGCACATGGTGCAGGCCGGGAGCGGTCCGAGGCCCTCGGGGGTGTGCGGCGGGCTGTGGCCAGCAGCCCTGGCATGCGGGTCGGGGAATGCAGGCCGGCGGACTAGAATTAGGCACGGACGCTTAGCGGTTGATTAAAGATTATTTTACTTACACCAAAGATGGTCACGGTGCAGGCAGAAAAACTTGCTTGAGTTGCAGTTACAGACAGAAAAGAAGAGAAGCGGACAAGAGTTCCTTCCACGCAAACCTCTAGCCCAATCCGGTTGAAGGCTTTAAACACGCGAGCCCATCGTGTCAACCAAAGAAAACAACTCGGAGAAAGAGCTCTGGATACACTCACACGAAGTTTGCTAGGCTCCGTGGAACTTGCGCGCAGGGAAGGGGTTCGTCAAGGAATCGTTCGGCGACGGGGAGAGGCCAGAGGTTGATCAGACCCCTATAGCCTTCTTAAGGTACACGCTGGGTCCGTTGGGCTCCGCAGCGCTTAGAGATCTTCACGAGACGTGAAGTTCTCCTCCTCCTCCTAGTTGTGGAGTCCTCCAACTTGGGCGGAAACCGCGCAAGCCTCTTATACGGCTAGCAAGCCAATCGCTAGCCGCCACGTGGGAATAATTTAGAACTGGCCAATAGTGGGACACAAATTTGCATGCGGGTGGCGGGAACTCCTTTGCACCGTGCATCTCTCTTTGCAACTGAGAAATGCACCCTGCAAAGAAAGCTCCTCGTGGCGGGAAATAATTCAGCAGTGCCGAAGCACACACAAACAAAATCACACCCTTGGGTTGTGACACACATGTGTCTGCTTTAAATTTATTGCACAATTAACCAGTTAATTGTGTAATATATGAAACATGGAGTAGATGCCTTAGATTGAAACTGAACATCTCTTATGTTGGTAAGAAATGGTAGAATAATAATGGTAGAATAATGTTCGTGTTTTTCTCTGTCCAGCTTGACAGCATTGTTTCCTTTGACTGTATGTCAGATTGGCAACACTTCATCCTAACAGGCTATGCTGCTGCTGCATGCAAAGGTTTGCTGTAGCATTTATTCATTTGCACTGAACCCCAGAGGTATAATGAGGCAGCTGGGCACCCAGGGTAGTGGGATGCATGGAGCAGTGGCAATTTCTGCCTGCTGCCATACCCCCAACATTATAGCAGAGCTGTAGCAGCAGAAGTTTAGTTTTGCACTCCTCTTTCACCACACATCCCCCTCTCCAAGGGTTGCTACGCTGGTTATGCCATCACTCAGCTCTCAAACAAAAATGACTGGTGGAGCCGCCTAATCATCAGTTAATCCCCAACTGCCCTCCACCCTGAATACGAGGAGTATCTGCTGAACCTAGCAGGCTGTAGCCTTTCCATGCAGCATAGGCTTGGCAGAACTTTGCATAAAGTACAGCAGTGTAAATTCCTACTCATCAGAAGAGCAGCAGCATTTTCAGAGCTGAACCTGTCTCTGATTGATACGGGAAACAAACAGGATTTAAGGAGCTGGCAGGAAATTCCACCCTGTTTTTTAGTGGTAATCCCTCTTTGGATTAAGGAGCAATGACTGAGACAGTGGCACTAATATGATGTTTGCTGAAAGAACTGAATGGTTATACTGATCTTGTCACTCCAGTGATTCCTGAGGGAATTCCTCCTTCCACAAAAAGGAGGTCTTCACCCCAAAATCTTGAAGTCAGGACCCCATTATTAGCAAATTCAGCCCCAACCTGACATGGCACTGTGCCCACAAAGCAGAAAGTCAAGATTGCTTTTGGTGTGTCTTGTGTATCATTGCCACCCACCAATTAACCTATGTGGGGAGAGGGGATGTTTTGTTCTCTTGGTTTTTCTCTGTATAGGTGTAATGGAAGTCACAACCCTATCAAATAGACCATCCAATTGTGATATGTAACAAGGAGTTTTTAATAAGAGTCGCATATTTATAATCTTGTGTGTATTTATGTAAAAGTCAGACACCAGACCATCTACAGAGCATTTAATTAGAAATATAATGGGGGTTTTTTAAATGTTGCTGAATCCCTCCTGTTGAAAGATCTGTTACAAATCCAGTCTGACTGGAAATGTACAGCTACTCCTTGCATAACGTCATAGTTACGTTCTTGAAAAATTCAACTTTAAGTGAAATGATGTTAAGTGAATTCAATTATGTCACAGTATTTACCTACTAGCAGGTGGCAGCCAAACAACGTTATAACTGAACATTGCGTGACTTTAGAGTATGTTCTCTAATAGATCAGCGACGTAATAACAAAACAACATTAACCAGGATGACATTAAGCGAGGAGTACCTGTATCTGGCTGGCAGAATGTCCTGTAACTGTTCTCATGAACAGTGTGTGCCCCCAGCGGTTGTGGGGGGCACAGCTGCACTGCTGGCAACAAAAACCTGGTGGTGGTGAGCAGGGAGCTCCCGCAGATGCCGCTGGCACTTTTGATGGGGGTGGGGGTTGGGAGGTGGCGAGTGCCTGGAGGGCATGGAGTGCCCCACAGGAGTGCAGGGGAGCCCTCCATGTGCTCAGTGGTGAGCCTGGAAGTGGACTAGAAGTACTTCTGGTCTACTTCCAGGTCTCCCAGGGAGCATGCTACCCCCCTGCCACTCCTGCATCTCCCTGGCTCAGTGATCGGCTGCAGGGGGACCCTGGATGTCCCCCCAGACTCACAAGGCACCAGTCGCCAAGCCAGGGGGATGCAGGGATGCCCCCCACTGTGCTCCCCGGCAGACCTGGAAGTCGACCGGAAGTGCTTCTGGTCCATTTCTGGGTCTGCTGCCGAGCGTGCTGGGGAGCCCCCCATGCTTCTGTAGAAGACTCCATGCACCCCAGCATCTCAGCATTCATGAGCCCCTGCTACCTAGAGGTATGTAGAAAAAACATTTAAAGCTGTCTCTATGTCCAAATCTTTCCGAATCTCTCCGAATCAGAACCCTCTGAATTGATTCGATTTGGAGAGATTAAAGGGTCCTCTCGTTCAATTTGGATTTGGAGATTTGGCCACCAAATCAGGCTGAATATCCACTGAATCGAATCGCATAGCTATACCTACTGAGCTATACCTCTTTTCTAGCCAATATAAGCAGATGAAGCAAATTGGACTGCTGCAGTTGAAGATTAGCCCAAGCACCTGTATGGAATAGAGGTTGCTATAAATACAATATTTTGATATCAGGAAAAGCTGTGGGTTATATTCAATTGATTGCCCTCTATCCCTGCAGGAAAAGAGACACTTGGATTGCTATAGTTGTAGAAATTTATATGGGATTAATTCTGTATTGGTTTGCAATCCTTTTGGCTTACACTGAGTTAAGAATTTGCTGGGAAATAAAATTAATTTACAGCTCACTCTTACATACATTTCTCCCTTCCAAAAGAGATTTTACAACTTGTATTTTTCTACTTTTTTCTGCCCTATGTTGTTTACTCTGAGATAATTTCCGATGGCTTCCTCTCTGCAGGCATCGGAAGTGGAGAGACAGCTCTCTATGCAGGTCCATACTCTTCGAGAAGACTTCCGGGAAAAAAGCTCCTCAACTAACCAACATATAGTACGGCTTGAGAGTCTCCAAGCTGAGGTGAGTTGGCAGCCCATCAGTTTAATAGGTCCCTAAAACAAGTAAGTTTTGGCTTAATCTTGTATAATAAACCCCTTTGAACTGGGGACACAAAACCAAAAGGTTAATAGTCATGTTTTGTGCCAGTAAGATGAAGGAATACTAGTGGGAGGGCAGAGAGAACTTTAGTTCATTGGGCTGGCCACCTATGTTTCCTTTTTAGTTGATGTCCCTTGCTTCTACTAACAGTGACACAGGGATCATATCTCTTATTTTGCAAATAGATTCTTTTGAGTTACTGTATCAAACAGTGTTGGTCAAATAAGTGCCCTTCAATTTACCCTCTTTAAGGTGCTGACTTTGTCGTACATCTATGCCTGTTCTCACAAAAACATGTTTTGCAATAAGTATGGGCCCTTTCTCTGAGAGGTAAATGGAAGATGTCCCCTGCTATATCACACCAACTGTGTGATAATGTTCCAAATTAAAGGGTTAATATAGAATCATAGAAGTCGGGTGGGAAGGGACCTTGTAGATCTTCAAGTCCGACCCCCTTCCTGGGCAGGAGGAAAACTGGAGTCAGATGACCCGAGCCAGGTAGGCATCGAGCCTCTCTTTTAAAGACCCCCAGGGTAGGAGCCAGCACCACTTCCCTTGGAAGTTGGTTCCAGATCCTAGCCGCCCTAACTGTGAAGTAGTTCTTACGGATGTAAGAACTATATGATGGGATAGAAAGCGCTGCTCCCCTACCTTCTTACCAATTGTAGTGAAAGTTTACCTTCATCTTTCAATTTACCTACACCAGTGTCTAAAGGAAAATCTTAACAGGAAGATGTGGCAATCTTCCAGGAGCCCAATATTGTTACCTTCCTATGGACCACTCCCAAATACATATTGCATTCTTGTCTGGAGCAGGGGTTGTTTTGTAATGTCTGTCTTGTTCTGCATGATTTAGAAGAAAGCAGGGAACCTCCTTTGCTGAGGGGAGGCCCCTTATAGTTTAGCTCTGATATGTAAGCAGGTTTGTCCCTTTCCCCTTTGATTTAGGCTAGATGGAAATTTCAATATGCAATAACTTGAGGGGTGAAAAAAACCCTACTGTATTGTCCTACTTTTTTCTAACTGGTTGTAAGAACTTTTTCCTAAAGTCTGTCAATTTCTTCTTTTCTCCCTGCCCCCTTTCCCATTTTCCTTTTCTTCCCTTTCCCCTTTGTGTGGAGCAGCAAGTCCTTGAAGTAAGTACAGATGCCTGGATTGGGGTTTGACTGCATATCTGTTACCATCACTGTGCATGCCTCACCTGTTAAGTTCCTTCTTATCTTGTGCTTTTTAGATCATCTATTCTTCCTTACACTTCTACCCCTGGTGAGAGGCGTAGAGGAGAGTTGTATTTTTATATAGCCATTCACAGAGTGTTCATTACTGAATTTGATAATTAAAGCGAACTTAAAATACAGTCCTTCTCTATGATATATGTTTATTTCTGCTGCATCTCTTCTCACTGGCATGCTGAAGTAACAATAGTAATGGAAAGAAATATCCTAGAAATCATTACTCATATAAGAATAGTATGTACAGGTGAGATTCTGTTGATGAAATAGCAGAGAGATATTTAGTTTGTATTGCATTCTTTCATCTGTATAAACATTTAACTCCTCTGGGCAAATTCTATGTTTATTATTTCTCCAAGACAGCTAGCTGACTGTCTAGTTAATCTGTGTCCAGAGACTATCCATACATTATGGGCATAATCATAAGGAAGACTTGGAAGGTAATCAGAAAGCAGATATCTGGGAGTCTGGAGGACAGTTAGCAAATAACACAGGTGTACTGGAGAAGACCTAGAGAGCAATAAGATGTGGGGGTTCCAAAGGAGGGAGCTGAGATGGCCATAAAATGGATAAACAGAGCCTAAAATGTTTTGTAGGGTATTTAGGACATGGGTTAGTGAGGCCTAAGAGGGCATCCAAAAAGGGCAGAAGTTGCAGAAGGGGACAAGCTGCTGAAAAGACATAATAGATTAATCAAGGAGCTGTAAAGGAGATTTCAAAAGATCCTTTTGCCCATTCCCCAAGCTCTGGAGTGCTTTGAAAAAACCTGGGAGCAGCTAAGGGGCAGAGTGCTAGACAAGCTGAGGAAACCATGGGAAATGGCTAGGGTAGGCCACTTTTGATGGTAGGAGCAAAGCAGGAATTGCTGGGAGATTTGGAGACCTGCAAGCATAATAAGAGAGCGAATGGAAGTGTTGGGTAGTTAGTGAAACACCAAGCACTCTAATATCCTTGGGAGACGTAGAGAATGATCACATGGGTAGAGAACTAGATTGGGACATGTCTCCTTTTTCTTGGTTAAATGAGTTGTGACCTTGATCAGTGCTGATTCATCCTGTGCATGGCTCCTTGCTAAATAAATTGCAAGGGTTTAGACTTGACACATTGTCCCTCTGCACCTGAAAATGCTGCACTTGATAATTAAAAACTTGAATCTATTTTTAAAATAAGTGATTGTTGGAAGGCTTGTAAAAAAAGACTGATGTTTTGTACAAATGATTAAGAGTAAAATTATATCCTGTTGAGAAATTGTCAAATTAAACATGTAGCAAACTGCTGCTTCCCTGCCATCCACAAAGGGCATAGCAGCTGTGTCATTGTGTGCATGTGCGCCTGCTCCCTCCCTCCAGGGAATTCCAAGAAATAATTGGGAATTCCAATATTAGGTCATTCAGAGAACAGGCTAATAATAAAGCTGGTTTGAGTAACAACCTTCTTACATTCTTGCATGTTTGATTTGTGTGGGTGAAACCTTGGAGAATGGTTGGGCGGGGCCATGCTCTGCTTTATCTCTTAAGAAATTCCAGAGAATGCAATGGGCTGTCTTCTCTCATTCCTTTGCTCTGTATTTGCCTGGCAGTGCACATTCCATCTACTTAAGATCTTCCTTCACACTCCAGCCCCTGCCATTTTATGGCTGGAGGAGTTATCTTTCAGCCTCTTCCTAAGTTACATATAAGGGTAAAGTCTCTCTAGGTACAGAATAGATAGGAACTCTGCTTTTTGCTTTAATTTCCTTGCCATGTTGTGAATTTTGTTTTCAAGCCTGGAACACTACTACAGTTCTCTCTCTCTCTCTCTCTCTCTCTCTCTCTCTCTCTCTCAGATTAAAATGCTTACTGATAGGAAGAGGGAGCTTGAGCATCGCCTTAGTGCCATGATGGAGGAAAATGATTTGCTTCAGGGAACTGTGGAGGAACTGCAAGATCGAGTCCTGATCCTGGAGCGACAAAGCCATGAAAAGGATATGCAGGTGAGGGAACAGGAGCTGATCAAGATATGATTAAAGGACAGGTTGTGAGGAGGGTCCTCCCCAAATCTCCAATCTTTTGATTGGGGATTTGAAGATCAGAAAATATGAATAAAATGACTCCTAGAAGACAAACAAGGAAGCAGAGATAACATTTGGTGACTCTGACAAAGGAATCTAAAAGAAAGGAAGAATTCTTATAACAGTGAGATAGGAGAATAGACATTTTAGAATGGAGGTGGGGGAGAGAGCAGTGGATACTATATACCTTGACTTTAGCAAGGATTTTCATGATCTCCCATGAAATTCTCATTAGTAAGCTAAGGAAATACAGACGAAATGAGTGTACTGTAAAATGGATATATAACTGGTTGGATCATTATACTCAGTGGTTTGGTGTCTAGTTGGGAGGAGGTATTTAGTGGGGTTCCCCAAAGTCTGTCCTGAGTATTGTCTAATATCCTTATTAATGACTGGGGAAGATGAAATTGAGAATACTGTTAGATGTCATTTGAAATTTTTCTAGTTGGGTGGAGTTTTAGACACTGGAGGGTAGGGCTAGGATTCAAAATTACTTTGATTTTGGACAATTTTTCTAGTTTATTAATCAAATGGAAATTCAGTAAGGAAAAGTATACTTGGGACAGAGTAGTCACATGCACAAATAAAGACTTGAGGAGACTGGCTAGGCTTCAGTACTACAGATAAGGACCTTATGGTCTACTGTGAATATGAACTGAATATGAGCCAGCACTGTAAAGGCTAAAAGAAATAGGAATATGTAGTCTGGAGAAGAGAAGACTGAGGTGAGATTTGATAATAGCCTTCAGATACCTGAACGGCTGGCTATATGGAAGATGGAGATAGACTGTTTCCTGTGGCCACAGGGGACAGGACAAGGAACAATGATCTTAAATTGTAGCAAGGGAAATTTAGGCAGCATATTAGAAAGAACTTTTTCACTATGAAGGTGGTTAAGCATTAGAACAGTCTACCTAGAGATGTTATGGATTAAAAACAGATTAGGTAGACACTTTACTGTGATGGTTTAGTCAGGAATGATCCTGCCTTGAGCAGCAGGTTGGACTAGAAAACTGCCTGAGGTCTCTTCCAACCCCATTTTTCTATGATTTCATGATATGGTATGTTCAGGAATTTGGGTGCATTTCTCCTTTTCTCTCTTATGGGACTGACTTTGTGAAAGGGCCCTCTTAGACTCCTTTTAGTCAGAATGTGGTAATAAATATGTGACTAGATACTGTTCAAAAGGTTTGCAAAACAGGCCTATCGGTTCTCAGCAGAACTTAGTAAATGTTACTGTTAAGACAGTATTGAACAATTTGGCATGTTAGTGTTTCAGGAATGTTTCTGAGCAAAGAGTGGTAATATTTTATGGCTTATGTTCTCAGCTCATCTCACCCTCTTCTGGTTTGTAGCCATATTGGATATTTTTACTTTTTGGCAGTTAACTCCCATGCTCTCTACTGGTTTGTGGGTCATAAGAATAAAGGCTGCCTCTACACGTTGGGGGGGCGGCTTTTAATTAGAAAGGTTCCTAGAGAGCCGCTGTAATTGAAATGCCTCACCATTTCATATATTAAGCCCCTGCACATTTAAAAATGGGCACGAGGTGCTTTACCTAACCTCATCTGATGAGATTTAGATAAAGTGCCTCTGTGGCCATTTTAAAACATGTGGAAGCTTATACATGTGAAGGTGAGGCCCTGCTGGAGAGTTCTATTGAGTATATGGAGCAGACTTAATTAACTGAGTCTGCTCCAACACGTTCTAATTAGAATGCGAGCCAGCACGTGTATAGGCAGCCAAAGGGACTGCTACTAGAACAGACTGACAGGTATGGGTAACAGGCTAGAGGGACCTGCCTGGTCCTTCAAAAGAAGGTATAAAATCACCCTAAATGGGATGTATCTACTTAGTCCACTGTTGTATCACAGTAGTCAAAAGGAAGACTCTTTTTCCTGAGCCCTGCTTTGGAAACTGAAAGTTTGTTTACTCTGTTCTACCACTGTCTCAATGCAAATTTGAGGAATTACATCTAGGGAATTCAGTCTCCATTGGTCCATGGCCTCTCTGCTACATAGTTGCCCACCTAGATGGCCAATTACCATAAGCTGTGTTGGTGGCTCTGCAGTTTGGACAAATTTCAAGTAGGAACTTGAGTGAGACCTAGACATTCATTGTATGTAAATGTAGGTATCAAAGTATAATAATGTTCTGTAACTAACCTGATCTGGAGTTGAACCGGTGAGCCAAAGATGAAAGACTCTACCTGCTATTTTTCCCATGAGCTATCCAACTTGCAGGCCTTTATAAATTAATTCTAATTAATGTAACTTAATCCTACATATAAGAGTCTAATCAAGTTCTGAAATTTATTTACCTTCATATCTTGCAGAAGTATATTCACAAACCCATTTCTGCAAGATGCTATTTAATATCTATTTTAATAGTCAGTTAAAATATTTTAAATACCTCTGTTTATTAATTTTATGTTTTGACTTTTTAATTTCAGCAAATGCCTTCAATTTACTCTATAATGGGAGAAAATTAAATAGAAGGTTCCCGCTTCCTTCTCTGTAGTTTTCAGTATTTATAAAACCATCCTATATTGCTTCTCCTTTACAAATTGCATACTCCTAGCCCTCTTCATCTTTTCATATTTAGATCCTATATCCATCACATTATACCTTTAATTCTGTTGCCTTCCATGGGGTCTTTCCTGATAACTTTCTTGATATGACAAGACGAATGCAGAATGCAGTGTTCAAGGTAGAGGGCATACCTGTGTTTAGATACACTTCATATTTCCTGTCGTATCGAAACTCCAAATATGGTACCAATGCGTACACGCTTCAATTTTAAGGAAGCAAATTAGAGAGGCTTTCCTGAAGACCCCGATTAAAAAAGTGGCACACATCAAACCAGTCTCAGCTGCCATCTTTGTGAATGCCTTGGATAAAACTTCCACGAGGTATATACTAGGGCTGTGCAAAGCTTTGGTCGCTGATTTGATTCAGAGGAGATTTGACCCAATTCGGCGGCCGAATCTGAATTGAATCACGAAACACTTTAATCTCTCCAAATCGAATCAGAAGCCTAAGTATATACCAGGGTTTATTCCCATCCTAACAGCTGAATACAAAAAATACCAGCAAATGTGTCTTCTGACAAAGATCCTACTGTGGCAGGGACAGTCCTAACTAACAAGCTCCAAGAAGAAAGGCCATAGAAATGGAAATAATTGATCAAAGGAATAGATATAACTATGGGCGACTGGTGCCTCCCAAGTCTGGGGGGGCATGACCAAGGGGTGGAGTCCCCCAGCAGCCAGCTGGCAACCAGGAGTGCCCCCCAGCGGCCAGTCGCCAAGTGTGCCAGCAGAGTCCATTTCAGGGGGGGCACTAGCAGTCTCCATGCCCCCCTACCAGCCAGAGCACTCACTGTCAGGGGGGCACCAGCACTTTCGGGGGGGGGGCATGTAACCCACACTAGTAAGAAAGCATGGTCAACCATTCGCAAGCTGAGTAATGACCCAAAGAAAGTACAGCAATACCACAATATCACAGCTAACCAGGTGGCTCACCAGCTTCTGCTTGATGGTAAAGCTCCAAATAAACAGCCTAAAATATGGATTAGACAGCAAACTGTTCTGGAGGAAAATCATTTTAGCACATCATACACAATGGATGAACTCGATGCTGGAATAAGTCACTTGAAGAATGGCAAAGCAGCTGGACTTGATGACATAGGCACGTAGCAGATCAAGCACTTTGGTCCTACAACCAAGTTGTGGGTATTGCACCTTTTTGAACAGTTGTTCATCAACCCTTAGACTACCTAAACTGTGGCAACAAGCCCAGGTAATAGCTCTGTTAAGGTTGCAAAAGGATGCCTCTGGCTCAGAGAACTTCAGGCCAGTGTCACTCCTGTGCCATCTTTATAAACTTTACGAACATCTTATTCTCAATCGCCTCTCACCTCACATTGAACAACATCTAATACCAGAACAAGCTGTATTCAGACCAGGCAAGTCCTGCACTGGCCAAATACTAAACATCACCCAGCATATAGAAGATGGATTTGGGGGCTGGACTCGATGATCTTCTGAGGTCCCTTCCAGCCCTAATGTCTATGAAATCTATGAAATGAAAAGGATGATAACAGGTGCTGTATTTGTAGACCTACCAGTGGCATACGACACAGTCACCCACAAAACCTGCTTGCCAAAGTCTACAATATGACGCATGACTACCACCTAGTGCAGCTCATCCAATCTCTTCTGGAAAACAGACGTTTTTACATAGAACTGTGCAAGAAATGGAGATGCTGAAGATGACAACAAAATGGCCTCTCACAGGGCAGCATGCTAGCATCGATCCTCTTTAACATATATATCAATGATCAACCCATACAGAGCAAGACGAGGAGCTTCATATATGCTTATATGTTGCAAGAGAAGGATTTTGCCACTGTCAAGAGCAGACTGACATGTCCGTTGGCACCCTTTCATATTATTGCAAGGAGAACCAGCTTTCTCCCAACCCATCCAAGGTGCAGGTTACAGCCTTTCACCTACTACACCATAGAGAAATCAAGCTTACTTTCAAAGCACATGTATAAAAGACAAAAGGGAAAGTTGGCACCCACAACAACATACTTTGAAACCTGCTCGCCTTGAAGTGGGGAGAGGACCCAGCTACATTACGAACCACTGCTATTGCCTTGTGTTACTGCACTGCAGAGTATGTGTGTTCAGTATGGGAATGATCAGTTCATGCCAAGAATCCACTCTATGGTCACGCAGAAGTAACAAAATGGCCTAAAGTGCAAAAGAGTATTTTGACCAGTGTTGCACCCTTGGACATGACAGCTGACAGGGCACAACTTAAGTAATGGAAGGAAAGATTATGTATAATCAGATGCCCCAATAAGGACCTAGAACCCCAGGAGGACCTTCTCAGGGTGCCTGATAAAGACTGGTCAGCATGGCAATACCTGTGCATGCAAACTGGAAGTTCAAAAACAAACATGATCAAATGGGGCTATTCTACTGACACAAATACATGCAAGTGCAGTGAAGTGCAGACCATAGAGCACCTGCTGGCTGACTCCTTGGTGATACCTGTACAAGGAGGACCTTGCTGCAGCAACAGAAAGAGCCATCGCTTGTTAACGATTCTGGAAAAACATCTAGTTATGACAAGAACATGAGAAGAAGATGCTTCTTGCAATCCCAGACTTTAGTATGGATTAGCATCTGTTTTCACCACCACTTACACTAACTCTTCCCAGTTATCCCTTTAGCTTTGAAGGAAAAAAGATCCAGCTAATTTGAAACCTTCCAGTGTGTACAGATAAATTTAAAATGTTTTGGTTTTTTTAGTGTGCATCACCTCCAATGTACTTGTCTGCATTGAATTTCCTTATGCTTGCTAGAAATTTGTTGCACCAAATACTGACTGACTTGTTTGATTCTCCATCAGTGTAAAAAAAAAAAAAAAAAAAAAAGAGACCCAATAAGTTTGCATTACTTTGTTTATCAGTGACCAGCTTGTTTTCATATATATACTTGTAATTAACAGTCCACTTTTTAACTAATTGTTTGTTAGTTTGTTCAGCCTCTCATAATTACAAATAAACTCCAGTTTTTCAAAAATACCACGATGGATACCTGTAATGTTAAGATAACTGGAGTTTCAAATTGATAAAATTGTTGTTTTTCTGAATTTTGGAGGTGGTTGATTTGAATCTTGGGTGATTGTGGTTCAGATGATCGGGGATCACCCTTTGAAACCCAAAGGCTTGTATGATATTTTTTTCTCCTTTTTTAATTCAGTTGTTGGTATGTCATCTAATTATCTAGTTTTCTTAGCTGTGTTTGGAATAGTTCCTCATAATTCACCTTAGCTTTCCATGACCTGCTGATTTTGTTTTTCCCATATTTTGAACCCCATTCATCACTAAGTCTAGTAGAGAATACATTTCTAGTAATTAAATTCTGATTTAGATTTAGAAACTCAACAGACGAGCAAAGACTTCCAGCATGCCTGGAAACCCTCTTTCTTGACTCCCCTTACTTCCATCAAGGTCCTTTACGAGCTGAGTTCCATCCAATATTCAGTCACTTTCACAAACCTTTTTTTTTCCTTCTGGTTTATATTACTCAATTCCCTCTGGAAGCTGCACCAAAGTCAGATGGAGCTCCAGGAAGTGCGATTGTCCTATCGACAGCTCCAAGGGAAGGTAGAAGAGCTTAGTGAAGAGAGAAGTTTGCAAAGCTTCAATACAACCAGCACATCCCTGCTATCTGAGATCGAGCAGAGTATGGAAGCAGAGGAACTAGAACAAGAGAGAGAACAGGTATGAATGCTCCTGCCCACTGGGGAAGAACATAAATCTTTGTAATATGTGCAAAGTATGATTTTATAGATATCAACTCAAGCCCAGCTAGCAGCTGAAAAGCTTGACAGACAAGTGCAATCTGCAAGGAATTGCACCTCGTATTCCCCAAAGCTGCTATGATATCTGTTTAAAAAACTAAAAAGATACAGCCTGTTGTGCAAACCCACATCTTATTCATCTAACACTACTTTTTCACTGCACTGCATCAATGTGTGTGTGTGTATGTGCCTGCCTCTATAAATTTGTCTAGAGATACAGAGGCATGCTAGCTAGAAAAGAGAGTAAAGGATATCCTGCTAATGTGCACTGCAAAGTTCATTTGAAAAGCATATACTCCAGATGGAAAGTGCAAGGGATATGACTTTCCTAGGTACAGAGATGTCATGGATATAGTCTTCCTGGACTTCCGGAAGGCTTTCGACACTGTCTCTCACCCCGTTCTCATTAGGAAACTGGGGGACTGTGGCGTAGACACCCACACAGTCCAATGGGTCGCCAACTGGCTAGAGAGCCGCACCCAGAGGGTGGTAGTGGATGGGTCCTTCTCGGCCTGGAAGGACATGGGCAGTGGGGTCCCACAGGGCTTGGTCCTCAGGCCTGCCCTGTTCAACATCTTCATCAGTGATTTGGATGAGGGGGTGCAAAGCACCCTGTTCAAATTTGCTGATGATACCAAGATGTGGGGGGATGTGGGCACAATAGAAGGGAGCAACAGGCTACAGTCGGACCTTGACAGGTTACAAGGATGGGCGGAGGAGAACAGGATGGGGTTCAACACAGACAAGTGCAAGGTGATACACCTGGGGAGGAACAACCGGCACCATACCTACAGGCTGGGGAACTCCCCTCTTGTCAGCACGGAGGTGGAAAAGGATCTTGGAGTCATTATTGACTCCAAGATGAACATGGCTCGGCAGTGTGGGGAGGCGGCTAGGAAGGCCAACTGTACCTTGTCGTGCATCCACAGATGCATTTCAAGCAGGACCAAGGAGGTGATCCTCCCCCTCTATGCGGCACTGGTCAGGCCGCAGCTGGAGTACTGCGTCCAGTTCTGGGAGCCGCACTTTAAGAGGGATGTGGACAGCATCGAGAGGGTCCAGAGGAGGGCCACTCGCATGATCAAGGGACAGCAGGGAAGGTCCTATGAGGAAAGGTTACGGGACCTGAACCTGTTCAGCCTCCAGAAGAGAAGGCTGAGGGGGGATCTTGTGGCCTGCTATAAACTAGTCAGGGGGGATCAACAGGCACTGGGGGGGGCCCGGTTCACCCGAGCGCAGCCAGAAGGG